CCATCACGGGAGGCTGCGCACCGAAGTCACATCACACAAAGTCGTTGTAAACTCACAGCAATACACTTACATGTTGCCTTTCAATACTCTAACAATCTATTAACGGGTATGTTTAGGGAGCAGTAAGGATTCCTAACAGTAAATTACGGGGTCTAAACTTTTTAGGACTTCGGTGCACAACCACCAGTGATCTTCCAGCACATTGTGCTCGTGTACATCGATAGCAAGTTCACCATCGTTGCCCAGACAATTGCGAAAGCCAGATAGCTCACAGTCACAATACCCATCACACGACTAGAACCTCCTGTCCGCTTGAGTTCCTGAGTTTCAGCCTTCTGACGAGGAAGCAGTGGCAAAAATGCGAGAGACAACAGCTTCATGCAGTAGCAGATCCAGATCGTAATTGTAACATCACGACGAACCAAAGTCGTGTCTGCCTGGATATCCTTGAGCCACACGTGGAACTGACCATTAACGAGCTTAGCCATGGAACGACCGAACGGCGTCGTCAGGTTTGTCGTGGCAGTCAGTAAACCATACAAAGCCCCTTCATGACCCGGTTCGGCAAGCTCCACCACCACATACGTGGCGATCATGAAACGGATACCATCGGGAAGGTATTCAATCATCGGTACACCAAGCCAGAACCACTGGTTGCGAACAACGTCCCAGACAGTGAACATAGTCATGAACGCATCAATAGATAGAGCTCCACACATGGTGACAATAATGATGGTACGCCAATTCCAGTCGAGCCCGTATTTGCCGGTTAATGCCAAAGTGATCGCGTAGAATACCGTGCCCACAATCGTCATGAAGCTGTTGTTGAACGGCGTAGCGTGTACCCAGTACAGCTTAATGTTACTGGAAGATACTATGTTGAAAGAATTGAAAACACCGGAGAAGAACTTGTATGCCACGATTTGGTAGATAGCGCGCTTTTGAAGCAACGTCCAGAAAGACGACATGTACTCGCCGAAGGATTGGTTGTCGGTGACGCGGTCCTCATTCAGCAAGAACCACGATACAATGACCAGGGGAGCGCAGATAACTCCACTGATCAACATGAGTTCTTGGAACGAGAGCGAGAAGCTAAACGAACCAGCGTACTCCTCTCCGTTCATAAAGAAAGCGATAACGGCGGCACCGACGGCGGTGAACGACGTCTTGACGGCGTATACAGCAGTCTGAACACGACCACGTTGCTCGATAGGCTCACGTTGCGCGTACTCGACAACCATGGCATCAGCGGCAACCTCACACAATAGATAGCCAAATGATGCGAGCATCATGGGCACAACGTATTTGCCAGCAGAATTCGGGGCGTTTGCGTTAATACTATCAATCTGATCATCAGTCCAGTCT